ATTAAAAAAAAAATAGTTTCCAGTAGATGAAACTAGAAGAATATAGAGAGACTCTAAAATCACTAATGTGCTGCTGGGAAGGGAGATGTGGTTTTTGTATTTGTCAATATTTTGAAGAGCTGAATACAATTTTGCCTGTTTCACAGAAGAGATTTACCCTCTTTTTTTCTGCCAGACCTTTAGACCTTTTCTTCCTAAAGTGCCTGAATAGAGTAACGCTATTTTGAATACCACCTTATATTTTTTCATGGGCTATCCAAATACTGACTCAGGATGTTTTCTTCCCTTATTTTAAGGAAAAATATCTTGACCTTCCTAAAAGCACTGACTACATGTTTTCTCAGCTACATAAATCAGGACTAACACAGCTAAAGCCAATCTGAAGTGGAAATCATTCTTTTGGACTTGACCATCACTTCAAAATACAAAAGGTCAGGCCTAAGCTTGAGTAACTGATCCAGAACAATTGAAAATACTTGTTACGTGCTGTGTGGTAACCTGATCAAACAATCTGCAAAATGAGGCCACATGAGGAAGCCACTCACTAGGTCAAGGAAAGCACATAGCTGAGAGCAATCCCCACAAGTAAGTTGATACTTTTAGAGATAATTATGTGCTAATTTTCTCAGATGCCTGTTACTATCAGACCGTAACCACATTAAATAGAAATAGCTATTACATGAAAATCTGTATGTGGGTACAAGAAGGTGCAGCTTCAGTAGCGCAGTCACACTTAGTCTTCCCCTATGCACATGTGTGGCTTTTCCTCTCTTCTTTGCAAAGGAATTACTCTTCAGCTGAAAGTTGCCAGCTATAAAAGCTTCCTTCTGACAAATCTGATGTAGATATTTGCATGATTCATTTACAGTCTGTTCTCAACTCTTACTTTCGATATGGAAATTTTGAACCATTTTCAACTGGTCCCCAAGCCTATGAAGAATAAACTGTCCTTTTAAAAATACTACTGTACCTTTTAAGTATGCAGATTGCCAGGCTGAATTTTAAATGCAATCACTTTGCTTCCAGTACACTTTAAAAATCAGGTGTCACAGTCTGCATGAATCAGTCCTCTGCACCCAGGACCTGCTATTTCCATCATTTTAAGCCTGTGTGCTGCAATTATGTGAATTGTCCAGTTTTTCCCCCAGCCTCCTCCATGAAATGCACATGCAGTATAAAACCCATTTATCATAGTGGAAATTGCTATTGTATTTAATCTTCCCAAAGAGAGCAAAATCGAATTATGATGTGTAAAGAATGATAATCTGTCAAATTCAAGGGAATACTCCAAACTTATGCCTGGACATCTGCAACAGAACAGGTCAAAGAGGTCTAATGTAGAAGACATGGGTAGGAAGACATGATGTGAGCATTCATAATGAGAAGATAAAAACTCCCCTGATCTTTGCAGATTGAATGAAACCTAATTACACATTGTATTGATTGTTGTGTATTACTGGAAAGAGACAGTGAAAAGGGAAAAAGGCAATTACAATGAAATTGTAGTCTGACCCTTCAATTGCTTTTGGCATGAAAGGTTATACCTTACTTTGGGCATCAAAAATGCTTCATCCTCTATAGTAAATCATTAGCAACAGACTCAGATGCAAAACTGATTAGAGGAAAAAAACAGGTCGATTAAATTTTTTCTATAAAAACACAGGCAAAGGAACAAAATACTAAGGCGTTAACGTTATGCTGTTTCATGAATTGCTACAAAGGATATCCAGCATTAGTTCCGTGTTGACAGACAATAAATCATACTCATCAATAGAAATACCACAGTAAAAAAGAAGAAATATAGATTGATGAACTAGATGCAGAATCCAAAGTCAACTATTAAGAGGTAATAGAGAGTTTCACCAAGAAAATTCCACAGATGTGTTTCATTGCTTTCCTTTCCCTTTGCACGCTCTGTTCATTTACTTTCACCAAAAACAGCAGCAGCTGAGCGCAAAGAAAGCTTTCAGAAATATTACTTCTCCAAGTTGATAGAAAATCAAAGCACGAGCCAACTGAAAACTATTGTTTGGGTGTATGTCTGAATGACTCTGCAGAGAATCATGGCAATTCTCATTCATTCCATTCTAAAAACTCTTGTTCTGCCAAAGACAATTGCAAGGACCAGCTTTCTACTGAGTTTCAAGCACAGTGCTCTGTTCTGCACACACCTCCACAGGCACTGTATGCACAGCTTTTATTCAGGCTGAAAAGTTAATGAGTTCTCTAGCGAACAGGTTTGTGTTGCCTCTTGATACAATTGCAACGTTACTGCTTGTGTTTATTTTTCCTTGCAGAAGGTACACTTTCAAATAACATTTCTTTGATTGCATACAAACAAACGAGTGTGACAGAAACAAAATTCCGTATAGCTGCAGCAGCATGGCTGGTCTCTCACAGAAGTATCTTTCTCTTGCACTGAGTCTTCCAAAGAGTCCCTAGAAAATCTAGCCAAGGTCTTACCAGTTTAATGCTAATCTGAATAGAAAAGAAAAATGAAATAACAGAACACCGAAACTTTATTACGAAAAATATAAGATACTTAATAGGTGGCTCTAAACTTGCTGAGCTCAAAATAGAAAGAACTAAGAGCAGAAAACTTGAAATACTAATCTGGCCAGATCTACCATGACAGTATCATTGAGCTAGACTCAAACTTCTGGTGCTTGCAGGACTTCTGGGTATGCAAGGAATTCATATTCCTTATGAATAAAATCTGTCTACCCATCTCTGTCTCTCCATATAAAAGTGACTTTGGCCCACCTCATGATAAAATAATGTCCAAGAGGGCCTCAGATCATTCTCCAAACTTGCAATAAAGCAATATATAGGATAATGTCTGAGAAACCTTGCTCAGCATTAGGATGGAACTACAGAGCTCCAGAGCAAAGTGCTTCTGTAATAGCAGTCTTTCCGTGAGACACAGCAGAGCATTGTCACAGACAGGCTCCCTGGAATCTCATTTATGCCCATTAATGGCATAAATAATGAGTCATGATATTAAAAAAAGAATACCAGTGAGGTAAACTCAAACAGATGCCTGATCTTGATTTCACTTACAGTGGAGCATCTCCTAATTTTTTAGGACTCTTGGGGTTTACTGCCACAGGACAAGGGGCAGGGGGAAGGGAAAGAAAGCGACAAAGTATCTTTCACAACGATGCTGAAATTATTAATCTGTGTTAATGTATCACTGTGTGCTAAAAAAAAAAAAAGCCACATAACTGTCAGAGAGAAACTGAAGGGAAATGAATAGGAAATTTAAACAGCTCAGCTTGAATAACTTCCTGCATTTTCCTGTGTAAGAACTTTCAGGAAGAAGAAACTGCCTGCAGTGTTTATTATGACCTGAACATGCAACATGACATTTAAGTTCAAGTAATTTCACTATGAAGTCAACTATCCAACAAACTAAACTAAAGAAGAAGAAGAAAAAAGTCCCCAAAATAAAGGCATATGTTACAGAGAACTTCCTGTTTACTGTGAAGCCACAGTCATTACGTGCAATGGTGCCTGCCTAGTACATTAAGGACTCCTGCTGATTCTCCAAGTGATCCTACACTGAGATGAACGTGGAGCAGGTAAACCCTACCCAAAGTCTCACCTATGAACAACACCAAGAACAAATCAATTTGGGCCAAAAAGATTCCATTGAGTTGAGCTACAATGGATATAGCTCAGGGACTGAACTAATTTAGTTTGGGAAGTCTATGGCTTTTTTGAATTTGGGAGGAGGATTTCCCTCTTAAATCCTACATTCTTCAAAACTGCTCCAAAACATGATTAGGAAACACAGCTGCTGACGCTTTCCGTCTAATTCATGAATGTATACTTTGTGACTAACATCCACACTACTCATTCCCCTTCTCTCTTCCCTGTTTCATACAGACAGTGTTTAAGGGGGTGCCTGTTCTGTAACACTTGCTGGCATAGACTGGGTATTACCATAACAGTCTAACCTACCTAGATTTATACAATCATTCAGAAAGTAGTAATACAAAATATACTTTATCCTAGCCCTCCTATTTGTCTGCATTTTAAGACTACAGTAGCCTTTGTTAAATCAATGTTATGAGTAAGATTTTCTCAAGCAGCCTAGAAGCACATTTGGTATCCTGAAACATATTTACACTGGAACTTTTATTTGATGCTAGACACTAAATGTTACATTTATATTATAATTTCATGTAAGAGTTCACTCCTTCAGCCTCCTCTTATCCAAAGCACTAATGTATTTAATCACATACTTATTCCTTTGATGTTCCGCATTTAGAACTTTATAAATCCATGCAAAATACAAATGCACTTGTTCTGCAGAATTAGTTTCTATCTGAAACATTAGTTGTCCTATAATAACTTTTATGGCTTAGCCTGTTCTAAGTTCCATGGAAGGGTTCACACCAAGATTTTTCCAGGCTGGTGAATTAAAATTGAATGTCATAAGAAGTGGTGGACGCTTCCCTGCCTCACCAAAGATAATTGCAAATTTAAATGGCAAAGTCATTAAGGAGACATAGGGGTGCTATGTTTAAACAGATCATTAAAAGTACACAGTGTAAGAACTCAGCAGAATCCTTTTGAAGTAGTTCTGAGACCAAGTGTATGACTTCCAGCTATAACCTAACAGTGTATTTGCTATACAAACACCTACCCATGCAGAGTTAATAGAACTAGGCAAACTGTAAAACCTGGTACAGTTCATAGGGGCTTCCACCAGCGCTTAAACCCAGGAACTCTGCAGCCTCCTTAACTTTGCATCTACTGAGGAAGTCCTGCCTTTGGACCAAGCGTTGGCAGCGGGGGGCTCCTTTCAGCAAAACCCTGCAGCCACCTCTTGTCCCTTCGTTCTCTGCACCTCAGCATCGGGTCCGCGTGCATCGTGCCCAGGCGTCCCTCCCGTGAGGGCAGGCACTTTGGGGGGTCTTCCCCAACCGGCAGCACCCTCCCAGGACACGGGGTGCCACGGGACCGATGCTGCATCCCCTCCCAGCCCTCCGTACCGTTTAGCTGGTTGTAGACCACTTCCTCCAGGTGGTCCAGGCGCTGCAGGATGGACTCCCTGTCCGCCAGGCTGCCCACCTTGGCGCCACGG